AGTCATTCCTTCAACCGCTTTTCATTGGGGGCCTGCTCTTGCCCAGGCACCGTTTTGAGTGCCAGGGATGCAGGAATGAACAAAACGCCAAATCCCCTGCCCTTGTGGGGCTTACACTCTAGTGGAAGAGAGGTGAAAAGACCCAGCAGGTCCTCTCCTAGCCCAGGAGTTCTGGGTCCCGGCCCCTGCCACCCGTGTCTGCTCCTGACTGCCATCCTTGCCCCCAGGCGTGTTCACAGCGCCACTGGCCGGACGCTACTTGCTGAGCGCGGTGCTGACCGGGCACCGGCACGAAAAGGTGGAGGCCGTCCTGTCCCGCTCCAACCTGGGCGTGGCGCGCATCGACTCGGGCGGCTACGAGCCCGAGGGCCTGGAGAATAAGCCGGTGGCCGAGAGCCAGCCCAGCCCGGGCGCCCTGGGCGTCTTCAGCCTCATCCTGCCGCTGCAGGCCGGGGACACGGTCTGCATCGACCTGGTCATGGGGCAGCTGGCGCACTCGGAGGAGCCGCTCACCATGTTCAGCGGAGCCCTGCTCTACGGGGACCTGGAGCTGGAACAGGCGTCCGCAGGCGGCTGGGCCCGACCGGCCTGAAGTGTCTATGCCTGCTAAAGAGCCATCTGGGGCGGCGGGCTGCCCGCCCGGGCTGGGCACTGCCTGCGCACCCCGGCTCCGGGGCGAATCTCCCTCTCCAGACCTGACCTAAAGGCGCCCAGAGCGGCCTCCTCCCCACCAACGGAGCGCGTCAGGTTGGGGTCTCCGGAGTCCCTTCGTCCAGACTTTCGGCCTGATCCCTGCCCCCTGCAGGGCCCGGACTGCAGAGGAGCAGGCCCTGGTACCCTAGAAGCTCTCCCAACTGGCTTCTAGGCCGATTCCCTGGGCTGCAGGGGTCTCCCGGGGGTGCTCCGGTCCCCACTGCCATACTAAACTATTCAGGAATAAAGACACTTGGTTTTTATAAAAAACAGAACAAAACGAAACACACCGGCTGCTTCAGTATGTTCAAGGGTAGGTAGGAGTACATGGAGCCTGCGCGGCGTAGCTCTGCCCGCACTTGCAATGGACGCGCGGGCCGCTAGGTGCGACTGCGGGTTAGAGCCCCAGCGGGACTCTCTTCCCGGTCCCGCCCGTCCCGCCAGTGTCCGCTAGGGGGCGCTCAGCGCCGCCTCTCGTCACGTGACCAGCGCCGCTCACTGTGCGGGGCCCCAGCGGTGGAGGCGGGGCCTGTGCGGGGATTGGCTGGGCCGGAGTGGCCGCTGCTGCGAGGCCGGCTTAAACCCGGGGGTCGGGAGCTGCTGGTGCCGGGGGCGGGCACGGGGCGCCTTTCCTGCGCTTTCCTTTTGCTTTCCTGAGCTTGCCTCGCCGCGCTTTGGAGAGGTCTGCAGCGGCTCCGAGTCCGTCTGCCAAGTAGGGGAAACGAGGCCGAGAAGCGGGAGGCGTTGCCCCCTGCTGGGCCACGCCGCCTAAAGCGAGGCCGGGGACCCAGGCCTCGGGGTCTGCGCTCCCAGGACCGCTGGGGTCGGTGGGTGGGCGCCGGGAGCAAAGGCCCTCCCGCGTCCTTTGCCCCCTACGGCGCCCCCTGCAGCTCCGGGAGGCTCCCTGGAGGAGGAGCTCGGGACCCGGAGGAGGAGCCAGGGCAGCCTCCGGGAGCGGGAGCCGATCCTTTGGTATAAAAGCCGGAGCCCGGCGGGCAGAAGAGCTCCGGGAGGGAACTCATGGAAGAGAAGCAGATCCTGTGCGTGGGGCTGGTGGTGCTGGACATCATCAATGTGGTGGACAAGTACCCCGAGGAGGACGCGGACAGCAGGTAGGGGCGCTCGGGCCCCTCGGAGCCCCCGGGCTGCTGCAGCCCCTCCGTGCCTGGCGGCCAAGACTACAGGGCTGGGTCCGTGAGTCCCACCTCCGGCGCCGGTGCCCCGTGCCCTCTGCCTGGGACCTGGAGAAGGAACTGAGCCCTTTAGGAATAGGACCCAGGCTTCGGATAGCGGTGTGTTCGCCGATTCCCGTTTCAACACTGGGACTGTCAGGCATGATTATCCCCATTTTACCCATAAGCAAGTAGAGACTCTGGGAGATGGAGTGATTGATTTATCCACCCGGCTGGCGAAGGCGCAGGACCAGTTTTTTTTGTTTGTTGGTTTGGTTTGTTTTTTGGATTTTGTTTTAACAACAAGACCTATGCNTCCTTCGCAGGACCAGTTTTTTTTGTTTGTTGGTTTGGTTTGTTTTTTGGATTTTGTTTTAACAACAAGACCTATGCACTTGCCTCTCACCAGCATTTACTTCTAATTTATCACATATAGATCTCATTTATTTCTTTAAGGAAATCGAGGTAGCTTACAATGAGAAGTATGTATAGTCTGTTAGACAGGTCAGGAACATTTAAAGCCATGGTATTTGAGCTTCACTATAGCTCGGGGCTCGCTAGCCCTGGAGGGACCTTTGGAGGTGCTGTGGGTTAGGGATAGAGCTGGTTCATGTGCCAGGACAGACTTTCCCCTGGTGTTAAATTCCGAAGGGAGTTTACCAGAGTCCTTTTTACAAAAGTCAGCAGGCAACATAGTGGAAAACATCCTTCTCGCTGATGTGGTGGAAGTCCAAGAGTCATCTGTTGGTTCTTATATTTACTCTTGATAAGAACCACACCGTTGCTGTAATCCTAAGAAAGCATTTCTGTGGGCAGAATATAGAGCTTTCTCTTGGGACAGTCCAGTACTCGGAATACCAAGAAGAACTGCTCCTTGGCTATCAGTCATCTCAGCCACGAGCTGGATAAAAGACCAGTTCAAGGTTGAGCTCAGCAAGACACCCCAGTGCTGATAGCTGTGAAGCTAATTGAGGGGAGAGGCCAGGCACTCCTCAGGCTTTGGGTCCATACAGCACTGTCACCTGTGTTATCACACGTTCCTCACAGCAGCCCATGGGAAGTGTGTAAAGACCCTTTCTTTGTAGATGAGGAAGATGTGGAGAAATTAAATTTTTGTAAGGCCATGAGTGGCAGAGCAGTAATCACAACCCAAGTCTCCTAACTCCAAGTCCAGTGCTTCAGCCCTCATTCAGCAGTCATTTCTTGTGTTCCCTTTCCTTCCCGTTGCTGCTGACCTTTCCCATGTTCTCCATGCCCCTTGCTCTTCAGGGTGTGCCGCTTTCTCCCCAGACCCATGGCTCTGCTGCTCAGTGGAGCACTGTGATTGTCCTTAGGGCCTCTCTCCCGTGCTCCCATCCCACCCAGCCCAGCTCCTGGACTCTGTTGTGCCTCCCAGATGAGCAAGCTTGAGTGGGGACCCAGTCCTTCCCAGCCATCTCAGCCCCACCTGTCCCAGGCTCTCTGTGCTCCACAGGCAGCTGGGGACTGTCAGGAACTGCCACCTGGTACTCAACCAGACCCCTGAGGAGTGGCCCTGCCTCCCAGAGTCCAGGCGGAGAAGAGCCTTCCAGAGAGCATCCTCCTGTTCAGCAGATCCTTTCTGCTCATGAAGTTGGGTATCGGTGTGACTTTGAAGGCTTTCCACAGAGTAAAACTGTATATTCTTTCTTTGAAACTTCATCCAAAGTGGAGCCCAACTACTCTCCATTAAAAAACAGAGTACACTGCTGTGGTTTGGGAGTCCGGAAACCTGGGTTCTGGCATCAGCTTTGTCATTAACTATTGGTGTGATTTTGAGCAAGTCAGATTCCCTTAGTCTCCTCTCTTCTCTGCCTGAAAGTTTCTCTAAAGCTCATAGCTTGAGAAACATGTGACCCCTTACAAATTAGTATCCTTTCTAATGAGATCACAGTCCCCTTTTCCCAAGGCTGAAGGGAAGTCCAGGGTTAAATTTTGTGTACAAATAAACCTTTGTCTAAAAATTCTGCTGCATTTATTTCCTCTCCTTAGTGATTCTTTGGTACTTCAGTCTGCCATAGTTATTATTATTAGTCTTTTGGAATTGGTAGACTAGAAATGGCAATGAGAAACCATTAAAGTTTTTTTACTGTGTATAAGTTATTATTTTGTTCTTGATGATGACAATGAAGCCATACAGGTATATTTTGAGTTAGTTTCCTCTTGTTAGACTTTCAGTAAAGATGGAGAAAAAATTTATAAAAAGATAACTCTGAGGTGCTGAATGTGTCAGCTAGCCTTTTGCGGTGGTCATTTCACAATATGTAATATGTCCAATCACGTTGTGCTTCTTAAACTTACAAAATGATATGTGTCAGTTACATTTCAATAAAGCTGAAAAAAGGAAAACAAACAAAAAAGATGGAGGAAAAACTGGTCTTCACCCAATAATCTTTTTAACTTTTTAAAAAAATATATTTCTACTGATTTCAGAGAGAAGAAGGGAGACAGAGAGAGAAACATCAATGATGAGAGTCATTGATTGGCTGCCTCCTGCACGTCCCCTGCTGGGCATGGAGCCCGCAACCTGGGCACCTGCCCTCACTGGAATCAAACCTCCATCTCCTGGATCATAGGTCGATGCTCAACCACTGAGCCCACAGGCTGGGCTCTTTTTAACTTTTGCCATTGTAAAAGTTAGCTCCCCCTCCTCTTACATGATCACACTGTCCAGGTTCACTTCCTGTCTTTGTCATTTAAGCTGAGTGGTTATTGAAACGGCTCTCCTAAGACAGGAGCGCCTAATAGATTTAATACCTTTGGGAACTGGCACTTGGAGTTACCCAGCTCTCAAGGGGAGGCCGAAAGTATAGCAGTTCTACCTGGGGGGGAGGTGAGCCATTGTCACTGAGGAGGAGCCAACACAGAGGGAGTGGAACCCTCAGTGAGTGGTTTCCTGATGTCATAAGAATAGGTGGAAGATAGAAATTACTTGCTGTGAACTTGAATTTAGCCTGGGCTGGGGAGGCAGACCTGGTTTTCAGCCAAGCCGCTACCCTTTGTTGAGCTTTGGCTCCCCATCTAGAAAATAAGAAGACTGTCCTGGATGCTTTTTTAAAAAATCTGTTATTTATTGATTTTAGAGAAAGGGAGGAAGAGAAAGAGAAAAATCAGTTCATTGTTCCATTTATTATGCACTCGTTGGTTGATTCTTGTATGTGCCCTGACCAGGGACTGAACACACAACCTTGGTGTATCAAGATTGTGCTCTAACCAACTGAGCTATCCAGCCAGGGCCTGGCTGGGTTGCTTTCTGAGGGAGTTCTAGATATTCTGTGGGCCCTGCCCAGGGCACTGTGGTCAGCCCTGCTTATCCCAGGATGAGCCTGCTGGAGCTGCAGGGACCTTCCTTGTGTTTTGCAGGTGCTTGTCCCAGAGATGGCAGCGTGGAGGCAATGCGTCCAACTCCTGCACCGTTCTCTCCCTGCTAGGAGCCCCCTGTGCCTTCATGGGCTCACTGGCCCCGGGCCATGTTGCTGAGTGAGTTGGGGAGGGAGCAGGGGAGGCCAGCCCACAGGGTGGGGGGAAAAGACAGTCTTAACCCTGAACAGGTGGGCTATAAGGAATGGTTGTCCCCACCAGAAATGGGTGGGAGGGGACGGAGCAGAGACCAGCATCCCAGAGCCTCCCTGGTGTAGCTTATCTGCTGCTCAGATATTAATGCTGCTCCTGTTGAAGGTTTCATTTCCACAGCCTGGTTCCTTGGCCATTCCCTGGAGTCTGCTTCAGCTTCCCACCTTCTCCTTCCTTGCTTCCAACAGACTGTGGTGGATGTGACCTTGCCCTTCTTAAATCCCTCACCCTGGCTGTGCTTGAGGCAGAAGGCAGTTCGGGACATGTTGTACCCATCCTCCCTCAGGGGTGTCCAGCATCATGATCCGAGGTTCCAGGCTTACAGTTCCTTACCCAGTTGAGGGGGCAGGGCCAGTGCTCAGGTCCTCATTGTTCCCTGAAGCAGCAAGAGCATCCTGGCTAAGGACATCCCAAAGCCACATGCTAAAGCTGAACCCAGACCCACACCTCCCAGCTCAGGCGCAGTGAGGCTGCAGCCCATAAGTGGCCCACATGCTCTTCATGTTGGCTGCTGCAGGGACCCAAGAGCCCTTTGAGCCCTGGCACTGCCGACTCAGCAAGTGTTTATCAGGAGGTGAGGCCCACACTTTGCCCACTGTGGGCACTGGGCAGGCTCCAGGTTGCTGGCCTGTGAAGCACAGCCCTTTGAACCCCGGTTTAGAGGGGCTGCTGCAAGAGCCCAGCCCCCCGAGCCACAGCCAGATTCTTTTCCTGATGAACTGGCATGAAGTAAATCGAGGCAAGAGCCTGCCCTGTGAGGTGGGACAGAGGGACCCAGAGCCAACAGCTGGTCACTTATTAACCCTCTTCAGCAGCTGCCTTCCCTCCCAGTTAGAAGCAAGACTGGCTCTTGCTAAGGGTAGTGGACCCACCGTTACGTAGTCATCATGCTGATGAGCGGGCCATTCTGAATTCTCCCCATGTGTTCAACAAACATTTAATGAGCGCTTACCATGTGTGGGGACCAAAAGTTATTTGGAAAACCAAACCACATTTTCTATGCTGTGGAAAAGCTACTATTTAAAGGACCCTTGGGGTGTAAGACAAGGACCGATGTCCTGACTTGGTGTGTATTACATGCCATTGAGTCAGCTCCAACTCCTGGCGACCCTATGATCGAGTGATGTCCACAGTGTCCTGTCCTCAACAGCCCTGCTCAGCTCCTGTGGCTTCCTTTATGGAGTCAATTCATCTCATATTTCGTCTTCCTCTTTTCCTGCTGCGTTCTGTTTTCCCCAGCACTGCTGTCTTTTCACCTTTACACAAACCTGTATTGTCCAGCTTTGGTTCTGCCAGAAGTGGGCTCCAGCCATAGTGAGAAAAGCCAGGATGATGGCTGGATGACTGGCATAAGTGCCAGCTCTTGGGCACAGGACACTGCGTTTCCAGAGAGGGTCAGGAAGGGTAGGGCTGGCCTCCTTGCTCTCCTGCTGGGGCAGTCTTCCCGAGGGGCTGCCTCCAACTCACTCTGATTGGAGGGATTCTGAGCAAGAGTCCTGGACCAGCCCATACTGAGGGCCACCGGGCACTGGGCACCAGCTCGCTGCCCGGGAGGGTTCACCTTGCTGCAAGAGGAGAGGGCGATGAACAGGCCCACCAAGGCAGCACCGCTTCCTGGCTGGGCAGAGTGGAGGCAGGTGCAGAGAGAGAGGAGTCACTGTAGGACTGGAAGGGACTTCAGAGGGAAGAGTGCAGTGGGGGTGAGTGTGCAGAGGGCAGCTGGGGGCAAAGTATCACCTTGGTAATTATTAATCCTGCCTGGGCTTCGCATGAAATAGGCCACAGTGCCCTGCTTGTTTCAAACAGGGCACGTGCTGTAGCCCCAAGTCCACCCCAGTAGCTTTGCGAATGTAAGCCCATCCTTTCCAGCCTGAGTCAAACTGAAGGACAGTGTCAGGGTTGGAGTTTGCTTCGTGTCGGGACCTGTACGAATGCCCCTTAGTGTTTTCTCACTGAGCTCCAGCCTATGCGTTCCTGCCTCTCCCGCCTCCGTGCACAGCCTGTGACAGCCGGCGATTTCTAGTTCCCTCCTAGCACCCTCTGCTTGCACCCTGGGTCCCTAGTGGCCCTGCCAGCTCCCTTCCGGCCCCCAAACCTTGTCGAACTGCACCTCCCCCGGGTTACTCCACCCCGGCAGTTTTGTCCTGGATGACCTCCGCCGCTATTCCGTGGACCTGCGCTACACGGTCTTTCAGACCACGGGCTCTGTCCCCATCTCCACAGTGATCGTCAACGAGGCCAGCGGTAGCCGCACCATCCTACACGCCTACAGGTTTGTACACCTGTCTGCGCCTCGCCAGCTGCCGCCACCACCGCTGAACTCACAGAACAGGACCCTTCTTGTCTTGGAAGAGGGGTGCTCGGCACCCACATGCTCCGGCACCCCTCCCCACCCCTGTGGAAGGTCCAGGCCACTTGTAGGCTCTAATTTGTGCCTCCTTGCCCTTCCCTTGGCTCGGGCTCCACCCCAAGTTTCCTGGTGACTGACTTCAGGCAACGAGGTGTGGACGTGTCTCAGGTGGCCTGGCAGAGCCGGGGAGAGACCCCCTGCTCTTGCTGCATCGTCAACAACTCCAATGGCTCCCGTACCATTGTGCTCTATGACACGTAAGGGCCCCTGGCCTCACCCTGCCACCCCCACCAATCAGTCCCCTCGCTTGCCACCACGGGCATCCCAGTTGCCCACCCTCTGTGGCCTCTCCCTTTGTACCAGAAATTGTCCTTATGCCAAACTGCTCAGTGATTTCTGAATTGTTTTCAATAAGGGGGGAAGAGATGTGGGAAGGGATGCACTTTGCTCTGCCTGGGAACTTGGCCTTGGTCAATACCAAGGAGGGGCCGGCAAAAATGTAATTTATGATGTGATTCCTCCATGATTACTCAATCAGCAGCCTGGGTTTGGGTGTGGGGAAATTGTCCTGGGGATAGAGGGGTGGGAGAGATGTGATTCTAACCATCTTAAGCCCTGAGGGGGACCCAGTGGGATTTCCAGGGTCAGCATTGCCAGTCTGTAGCATGGCACCAAGGAACTAAAAAGATGAGGCCCCGCAAAGGTCCCAGCATAATGAAGCCAGACCACACACCACACACGATCTGTAGCCATTGATGAAGGGGAACATTGGGTCAGCAGATCAAGGCCATCTGATGTGCTAAACTACGGGGAGGGGGATCCCTTTAGAGTCCAAGCCACTGGGGAGAGGCCCTGTGGGCCAGACCCTTCTCATATCCCCAGAGTCCCCCTTGAAGAATCTCAGAGGTTTAGTTTACTGAGAACATAATATGTGCCAGATAATATGTTAGGGCTGAGATGGCCTAAACTCAGCTGCCCTGGGGTTCAGGCCATCCCTACTACCCAGCATGACCACTGGACCTGGGGGAGAGGGACAGTCATTCTGGGACAAGCTTTATGTCAGTGGTCCCTGGGCTCTGTGTCCCAGTGAATGAGTGGGGGCCATACATGCTAGTGGCAACATTCACTTCGGGCAGTCCTAGTCATCTGCCCATTAAACAACAATCTGTAGCAACCTTTGTCAAGGACACAACATGGGTATTCACAGGGAGGGAGGCAGAAGAGCTCTGGGGAGATCTCTGAGGAAAGACGTTTATTGCCTACTGGCTTACGTCTAGGCAAATCTACACATTATAACCTCCAACCAACTGCCCAGCTGGCTCCTCAACACCTGCTGTGGTTGAGTTTGCCTTCAGATAATATCACAGCCTGTGAGCCTGGGGCTTCCCCATTTACCAGTGGGGAAGCAGCTTCGGAAGGGCACAGGTGACACAGCTAGTTAAGTGGACGAAGGATTCAGCTCCTGAATACAGAGAGGACATCAGCTATGTGTAGGTCCCGGGCCAAGGAGTGTCAAGGCGGACCTTTATGGGGTGTCCACACCTAAGTTAGTCAAATATAAACTCATTCTCAAGCGCTAAGCTTATCCTCACAGTTGGGACATGGAGCCGCCAAACTTGAGACAGTGGTGCTGTCACTGGTGTGGTGCCAGAAGTGAGTGGGCCCGGATTCTAGATCCCCAAGGCATTTGCAGTTTCCCCGGGGGCACTGATGCTGGGAGCCGTGTGTTGCTGGCAAGGGGATTTCTGGGAGACATGGTCTCCACGGCACACCCAACTGGCTGCTTGACACCTGCTGCAGTTGAGTTTGCCCTTAGATAATATCACAGCCTCAAACACAGGAAGAGGCACCCTAGCAAGCTGCCTTTAGTCCCCTGTCTGGATGGAGCCCAGTGGGGCGAGAAGTGGTTGTGAGTTTTGCTTGGGACAGGGCCTGTCCCGGAGCTGAACCTCAAGCCTGTGCTGTGGATCCAACTTCTTGCCATGCTTCAGTCAGTGCCAGACATTAGGACCCCAGCAGCCTGTTGGAGATCCTGGCCCTGGCCAACCTCACCATGCCACTTCTCTGTCCTTTCTATCTTGTGACTTAGGAATCTGCCAGATGTCTCTGCTATGGACTTTGAGAAGGTTGACCTGACTCGGTTCAAGTGGATCCACATTGAGGCAAGCTCTGCCCTACCTGTGTTTCGAAGGGCTCAACCTGCCAGCCCCTCCTCATGTTTTGCCTCCTTCTTGGTTTCTTTGAACCATGAAGTGCCTTAGAGATCAATAAATCTGAACCCCCTCACACTCTTTCCATCCTACTTTATGTTTTTAGGTAGGAAACTAAGGCCTGCAAAGATTGGGTGACTTACTCAAGGTCACACAGTAGGATGTAGGCACCAGAAGCAGGATGCTGACTCCAGGCAAAGTCCCGTGCTTTCTGTGTGGCAGGCTGCCCTGCTTCCTCCACACTGGCGGGAGCCTGGCTGCAGGAGGCCTGACCATTACCTCTGGGGAGGCAGGAATGGGAGGGCCTGACCAGCTCCAAATAAAGGGAACTAGAATCTTCATTGCAAGAGAAGTTTTGGAGTCTAGGCCTCAAAAATTCCTGAGTTCGAATCCTAGCCCTGCCATTTAACTTATTGTAGCTCCTTAGGAAAGGCTCCCTTTTATTCTTTAGTCTCTTCATCTATGAAATAGGAGGGCTGGTTGATAAGTTCTCTAAGGTTCATGACAGCTCTGGAATTTTTAGATTGAGGGTGGGGTTCTAGCCCAGCCTCCCCCGGCCACGCTCCCCCGTTACCCAGCATTTCAGCAGGAAGAGAAGAATGACCCAGACTGGCTGGGCACCTGCCGCTGACCCTGAGCTGCCCTCCGCAGGGCCGGAATGCGTCGGAGCAGGTGAAGATGCTGCAGCGGATAGAGCAGCACAACGCCAGGCAGCCTCCGGGGCAGAAGATCCGGGTGTCCGTGGAGGTGGAGAAGCCCCGAGAGGAGCTGTTCCAGCTGTTTGGCTATGGAGACGTGGTGAGCATGCCATGCAGCTTCTCCTTGCCACAGCCAGCTAATCTAGGTCTTAAAAGGAGCCTGAGAATTCCCCTGTCTTGCCTACCATGCCGGGAATGGCTAGCTGCTCATGGCTTGGTGGTGTTGGCAGGAGAGAGACTAAGCAAGAGGGCAACCCCCAGCTTTGGACTGTGGTGCAGGCCTCGGCAGTAGCCAAGGATTTTCCTCTGCCCCAGTGCGTAGGGACGAGGGTAGCCAGAGGGCTCGGAGAGGGCGAAGACGGCCCGCACGGGCAGCCCTCTGTGGAAGGCGCCTCCCCGGGCCTCCTCAGCCTTTTTCTCTGTCAAATGAGGGGATGGGACTGTGTCCGAGGTGTCCTGTAACTCGGGGTGGAGGTCAGGTTGTGGCAGCCACCAGTGGGTGAGGGAGGATGGGAAGGGGCCTTGCACAGGGTGAAGCTGAGCAGCATGGCATGTAACTGGGCTCCGGTTGACAATCTTAGCGTCCCTGCGGAAGCTGACTGGTCCTCAGCCTTGGCTGCAGGTTAGAAGATGGGGATGCCCAGGCCCCACCCCTGTTGGTTATTTGATTGGTGGGGTGGAGGCTGAGCTGAAGTATTTTTTACCAAAACTGCCTCTGGCGATTCTTATGTGTGATTGGTATTGAGCCCCTATCCCTTTGTTCTTAAGATGAAGGAACCAGACTTGGAGGGCACAGTTGCATGAGGAAAACAAACACAGAAACGCTCCTGAGAGTTGGCCGGCTAACTTGGCGCGGGTAGATTTCACCTCTAGAGGGCGCTCAAGGCGCGCTTTGGTTTCAATTGGGAGGCAATTCCTTGATTTTAGAACTAGACCAGGGCTGTATTCTGGCATATCTTGAGCAAGTATGAAAACGTGTTCCTGTGGGGCACAGAAACTCTATCTTGGGGGCTGGGGTGGCCACATTGGAGGAGTGGGGTCATAACATGGGGGCAATGCTAGGTTGCTGGTGATGAGTGAGCTGGGGCTAGAATTGGGGTGATCGGCCAATTCTCTTCCACTGTCCACAGGTGTTTGTCAGCAAAGATGTGGCCAAGCACTTGGGGTTCCAGTCATCAGTGGAGGCCCTGAGGGGCTTATACAATCGTGTGAGGAAAGGGTAGGTGTGGGAAATGGTGAGCCTGGACTCAGGGTCTGTCCTGGGGAGAAGTAATGAGGCTGGGGGCCAGGGGTGGGCTTACACCCAGCTGAGTAGAGGGTCTTGCAGGGCTACGCTCATCTGTGCCTGGGCTGAGAAGGGCGCCAATGCCCTGGGCCCCGATGGACAGCTGCTCCACTCCGATGCTTTCCCACCACCCCGGGTGGTAGATACTCTGGGGGCCGGTGACACCTTCAATGCCTCTGTCATCTTCAGCCTGTCCCAAGGTAAGTACCTCAGCAAGAGGCACAAGGTTGGCACTTGGCCCTGCCCAGGCGGCCAGGCTGATCAAGCTACTTGTCCCTCCCTCCAGGAAAGAGCATGCAGGAGGCACTGAGGTTTGGCTGCCAGGTGGCCGGCAAGAAGTGTGGCCTGCAGGGCTTCGATGGCATCGTGTGAGTGCCAAGTGGCAGGAGGCATCACTTCATTACCCACCTTGGGGGCCAATGTCATTGCCTGCCGTTGCCTTGTCCCCTCCATCCAGCCCGGCATCCGGGCTGCCCTGCTCCTGGGCAGATGCCAGCCATGAGAGGGCTCCGCCTGTCTCCTGGCATCTCACACTGTGGAGCCACAGAGCAAATAAATCTCCTTCCCCAGAGCCTGCTTGCTTCTGGCAGTCTGTTTGACCTTGGTGTCCAGGCTGCTCTGGCTGGGGCTTCCCGAGGCTTTGATACTGCAGTCGTTCCTCCTTTCCTTTCCATTCCCTCAAGGCACCGCCCCACGTAAGCCCAAAGGAGGGGCTGCCTAGACCCGAGCAGCAGAAGTGCCCCAGGCTTGCCACCAGCTGTGCCTGTGGTCGGGCCCTCCATCAGGGTAGGTAGTGACAGGGAGCCTTACTGGCTGCGGAGGACACTAAACTGTTTGTACCTCAGGGAACCTTCCAAATAACCACAAATCATGAGAAAAGCTCCTCTAGGCTGTGCCATCACAGACTCCAGTTCCGTGGCCCCAGGAGTGGCTCAGGCTGAGCCAACTTGACAGGCCAGCGGGCAGGGATCCTACTCTGTGGTTTGGTGGGGCCTTTGCTGTGCAAAAATAGCTTCCCAGTGACTGCCCCACAGCCTAAAAGCCCCACCCTTGGAGCAGCTTTGTAGTTAAGGCCGTGCCTCAGCCACAAATGTGACCGGGTTACAGAGCATTGCTGTCCCTGGGGGAGCCAGGGCTGAGGGCACAGGGGAGTGGAGGCAGGGTGCATGAGCCACAGACGGACCTGAATTCAGATCTGCCTCTTAATTAGCTGTGCCACCTTGGTACATTATTGAACTCAGTCTTCCTCAATTTCCCCATCCGTGAAATGGAGCTAGTTCGGTCTGGTCATAGAATTATTGTGAGGTAAAAACACACAATATAGAAAATGCCCAGTATAATGCTGGTGTGTACGAGGCTCTCGATAGATGGTAGTTATTGTTAATATTGGTGGGGTAGCTACAGGGTAATGGGAAATATCTGCCCTGAGCTACAGGGGGGCACTGGGTATCTGCATACCAGGTGAGGGGGGCACAGGAGTGTTTGGGCCCCAGGGAGACAGGGAGAGGCTGAGCTCTCAGCACCAGCTGGGAACACTGGGAAAGCTGAATCCCTGTTCCTCCAAGAGGCCTGTCCGGTCCCCAACCCCCTGCACCTCTGAGGTCTGGCCAGGCTGGACCAGTAAACAGGTGGTCCAGGGACATGAGTTTATTCAGTTCTTTATTGGTCGTCTGGGCCCTAAAGCTGCCCCTCAAACATAGGGTCTCCATGAGCTGTAGAGAAAGACCTGCCACCTACTGGGACCAGGAAGGGGACACGGAGGTGGTTCTTGTCCCAACATACACACCCCATCATTTGGAACTTATGTTCTGGCACTGAGACTTCTAGGGGTACAAGCTGTATCCTCCAGGTTTACATCTCGTCATTCTCCAGTTGAATAGCATGAACCTCAAAGTCATGTGGAGTGTTCTTGGACTCCAATGTTTCCCCTGGAAGCTTTTCTGCTTCCTTTCCAGTGTCCCTGGCCTCTGCCTGTCCCCCAGCCTCCTCTCCAGGGCTGAGGGCTTCTCCTCCAGCTTCTGCCTGCCCGCCAGCCTCCTGCACAGGCTCCAAGGACTCCTTTCTGGCCTCCACTTGTCCCCCAGCTTCTCTGGGACCCAGGGTTTCCTGTGCGTCTTGTCGTGATGGGCTTTTAGCTAACAGGGCCGGCCTCTGTGAATCTTGGGGCTCCAGGGGCTCTTTGTGCTCCGAGTGCCTTAGGGCCTCTCCTGGAAAGTTGATGAGCTCCGCAGGGGTCATGAGCCCATCTCCATTCCGGTCCTGGGTCTCGAGCACCTCGTCCACTACCAGGATCACCTGTGGAAGCACACAGCTGCCATGGGGTCTACAGGGACCAGAGATGTTTCCTGGAGCCCTGATCTTCCCAACACCCCTCCCCCCATCCCTGTCATGCAAGCTTTGAGCATTCCTGGGGATTAACCAAGAGAGTCATGATGAAATAGACCAAAGCCCCAGGGAGCTGGGTCTCCTTCACAGGAAAAGGGTCCCTATCCAGCAGGGCTTACTGGGTTGGTGGTGAGAGAGTCAGCGGTTGCGGGGGCCAGAGCTGCTGTCAACATGGACATCAGCTCCAGGCCGTCCAGCTGTCCACTCTGGTCGTAGTCATGGAGGGCAAAGAGGTAGAGCAGAACTAAGGAAAAGAAGCTGCATCACAGAGGTGTCAGGACAGGAGGAGGCAGGAGGCAATGGGATGGCCTGAGGCCAGTCCCCGCTCTGCCGCCCTGAGCCTCCCTTCCAGTGGCTCTCCAGCCCAGCCCCTCACCCTGCTCCCGGCTCATGTGCTCCGGTTCCTCTTCCATCCTCTCTAGTCCCTTGAGGTAGCTCTGTAGAAGTCTGACAGAAAAGTGGAAAATCAGCCCCTGGGAGGCCAATCTGCAGGCCCAGGCCTAACTCTCAGGCCCCAGCCCAGCCTACTCACCGGAGCTGCTCCTGGCCTGGCTGGAAGGGGTTGCGTAGGGCCCGCTGCTCCACTTCAGGGGCCAGCCTGGAGGAGGGAGGGGAGGACCAGCCTTGCAAAGAGCCTTCCTGAGGGCCCAGTCTACCAGCCTTCCACCCCAAGCTCCTGGCAGAGTTCTCTCCCCAGACCCAAAGGGAGTTGCTCTCCCAAATTCCCCAAAACCTTGTGGAGAGGAGGCCCTTCCGGTCTCCTCAGAAACAGAGCCTTACTCCCTCAGACTCTATGTTAGCAGAGTCCTAACCTAGGTGGTATGTAAGTGAAAACCCCCATAAAACATCTGGTTAGAGGCCAGATGAGGGCACACCTAGTCGATATAAGTTGGAGACCCAAGAAAACAGCGCAGTCAGGGGCAGGACAACGTAGATTATAGCAACAATTCTACCCTGATGCTGGGCAAAGGGGCAGGTCTCTGGCTGAGCTCAGTGGCACTGCCCACTTTGATACAGACCCCATTTACACGACACAAACTGGACTCTTTTCCCCTCAAGCTGTTGGTTTTGGAGTTTCAGGCTGCTTACGGTCTCTTTGTCAGTCTTTAAAGCTCAATATTTGCCCTCAGTTCTGGATGAGGCTACCTGTTTGCCCAAGTCAATCCAGACCTGTGATGCCAGAGAGCTGGCAGAAGCTGTGGCAGCAACCTTGGTCACTGCTGCCACCTGCTGCTCCTGTGTGTGTTCCCCACCCCACCCAGAATCCACGCTGCAGAGGTATAAGAAAGGTATCCTGAGAGAGTGGAGATGGTCTGCTGATGGCCTCGACTTCTTTGAGGTCCCACTCTCAGGTCTTGATAGGAGGACTGCAGCCCCTTCTCTGGCCCATAGCTTCTTCCCTGGCCCTCACCCCTCATTGGAACTGAGCTCCTGGCTCCAAATGAGTCCAGCAAACACAGATTGCATGCCCACATTGTGTGGGACACTCTAACAGGCTCCAGGCAGAGAGGTGGAGGGGTGTGGGCAGGGATACAGAGGTTAGGCAGTGTACATCCCAGTCTCCTGCTTCCCAGAGGGGCCCACAATACCCTCGATTCTCCAGAGACTCTCCTTGCTCCCAGCCCAGGGCTCTGACCTCTGAATCTCATTACCTAGTGGTTCCATCCTTGGGGGCAGCCTGACTCAGGGGCAGCAGCAACAGCACTAGCATTCTCATCGTCAAAGGTAACATCCTTCCTGGAGCTGGAACAGGTAACATTTTCCCTAGGAGCAGAGTTAGGGAGTCAGGGGGAGGGGGTGTGTGCCACAGAATAGGGGATTGGTGGGTTAAACAGGTACATTTTCTCTCCCTGCCTCCACCTCTCCCTGCAGCCCAGCTGACAGGACACAGGGACATCAGTGATCCCCCTTGGAACTTTGCTCAAAATAAATTTGTCTCCAGATCCAGTGTGTAAAGTACACAAAGACTTGCTCTGGAAGTGGCCTGTGGGAGGAGCCCCTGCCCACACCCCATTCCTCTCACCCTGCAGCCCCCCAGGTGCTTGGGGGAGCGGTTTAAGTACATCCAATCCAGTTTAGTCCACTTGTTTTACAGATGGAAGCTAACTCGGAGAGGTTAAGAAAAGGGCCATACTGGAAATGCAAAGAGTCACAAAAGGACCAAGGCTTAAACAGAGAGGCAGGTTGTTAGTTTGTGTTTATTAAAATCTTACAGATGAACAAATCAAAAAAGGCACAGACACCTTGAAACAGGTAAAAACTCAGGCAGGGACTGAAAACGCAACAAACCAGGGTCAAACCAACAGTGGTCCCAGGAACTGGTACTTACTAAGTGCAAGTAGGAAATCAGATCCCAATAGGAGGGAAAAAGCAAAAACTTCCCCTTAGACCTACATTGTATAGGCCCGTTGGCAGCAAAGCCACTTGATTATATAAAAACAGTCAAAAGAGAGAGGCTCAATCAAAACCACAGAGCATAAAGCTTTCCGATTAGTCCCAGGGGTGTGTACATGGCATGAGCTCCTGAGGAAGCAGATGCCCACCCAACCTGAGGCCCGAGACCCTGCGCCCATCTCTAGGTAGATAAATCCTTGGCTGCTTGGTCCAGGCAGAAGATGAGGAACCTCTGAAACGGTGCCCTACACACTGGCTGGCACTGAATTTCCCTGGAGAAAGGTTCATAGCTTTCAGCAAATTCTCAGAGTTCCATGACCCAGACAAGGTTCAGAACCACTGCAGGAGCTGACATCAGCTTCCTAAGAGATGCGGAGAGCAGCTGAGCAACTGGTCTACAGGAAGATACACGTGGGAACCTGGCTGTAGCTGCGAGCAGAGCTGCCCGAAGAAGCAGCAGCAAAACATGGAAGTCACATAGAGGTGAAACTAGCGAGAGCCCTAGAAACTATGTTCAGTTTTCCATGCATACGTTGACCCCAAAGGATATGGTGAGTCTACACAGTTGGTCCACAATCCCCAGTGGCCAAAGGGGTTCTGAAGCCACAGCTGCCCCAAAGGCATTCACAAACATTGGCTGGCAACACAGGTCCTTGTGCTTTAGTTGTTGCACCCAAGAGAGAAGACAAAGTCCCAGGCCCATACAAGGGAGGTAGCTGGAACTGAGATCCCCTTAGTCCCTGGGACCCTCAGAGATCCCACCACAGAGGACACCCCTCAGTAAAAGGGTGGGCTAGAGAAACACCCAGGCCTCTATGTCTGGGAGTATGCTAGTAAATGTCCCAGTGAAAGTAACTCCAGAGCTGGATAAAAATAGAAAGTATCTTTTCAAATGCAATGAGTTGGCAAGAAAGTAAGCAATTCTCAATATAAAAGCAGTGAAACCAGTAACCCAGAGGAAAAGTTAGTTTACAGTCAGCTTTTGCCCTAAGGGTAGCTGCCAAACCAAAAACCCTGGTGAATTGGAGCTCTCGGTTTGAGTGCTTTGTGCAATAGAGGAGACCAGAGAGAAAGCCTGGACCCACGCAATGTGAGCAGACTAGTAGGAGATGCAAACAGCTCAGCTCTCAGTCTAACAGTGAACAAAAAGTAAATTTGCCCTGAAGGACAGCAAGCACAGAGTCATTTGACCTTGGTACTGGGTTGAAAGAAAAATATCTTCCCTGCGAATGTGTAATAAGCCTGCTCTTATGTGGGTCTGAGGCCCAATTACTGCTACCTCTGTGCTTCAGAAACCTAGGGCAGGTCATTTATTTTGAAGTGGCACCTGGTTGACAGTACCCCCAGTTGACCGACAGAAGAAAATGTACGCCTTGTCTGAAAGAACACACCTACAATCCAGGGCTCCAAGAAGTTCCATAGGTCAAGTTTCAGGGAGCATGAACACCCAGCCAAAAAAGTCATAAACACACAAGGAAATGAGACACTGTGAACAAGAGCCCGCTAAACACTAGCAGGCAGAGCAGATTTGCAAAGCTAAAGATATTGTAATTATCACACACGAACTATAAAGAATATTTAATATGTTTTAAGACATTAAAGAGAAGCTTTAAACTATGAGAATGGAACAAGAGCATAAAAATGACCAAGTAGATTTTAAGATGAACCAAATATAACTCATGCAAATATAAAGAAAAGTTTGATTTTAAAAATACAATGAGTGGGTTAAACAGATTAGACACAGACGTCGTAAGGATTAATGAACTGGAAAATAGATCTGAATAAATTATTGAGAATACAGTGTGTGAGGGAGGAACAGAATTTCCTCTACCCCAGCTGGCATAATAGTAAAATAGATCTTATAATAATGAATACAAGTCATTATACATTTGTCCAGACCCATAGAACATAGGACACCAAAAGTGAACCCTGAGGTAGACTATGGACTTTGGACGATTAGGATCAGTATAGGTTTACCAGTCCCTTATGTGCTATCGTGGTGGGGATGATCATAATGGGGGAAGCTATGCATGTCTGGGTGCAGGGGGTAAATGGGACATCTCTGTGCCTTCCTCTCAATTTTGCTGTGAAGCCAAAACTGCCCTAAGGAAAAATAAAGTCTTAAAAAAACACCTGGCACAACTTCAAGGCAAAAGATTGAATCTGCCATTACGGTGGGAGAATGTAATATACCACATTCAGCAACTGAAGGGTTAAGCAAACTGAAAATTAGTAAGAATGTAGAATGTTGAGTAAAACATTCAATAAGCCTGAGCCAATGGACAGAGAACCCCACTTCAATCACTTAGCAAAAACATATTCTTCTCAACACTTGGAACATTTATAAAAACCAACAAATACTGCGCCGGAGAGTATGGCTCAATGAATGTCCAAGAATCAGTCTCACACTGTTATATAACTAAAATGCAATTACATTAGAAATCAATAACAGAAATGACATGAAAAATCTTATATATATGGAAATTAAAAAGGTGTGCTTACATAGGATCGACGAAGATAATGGAACTTGGTAAATACTTAGAATTGGATAATATTAGGAAAATATACATCAAAACAAGACATATAGCTAGAGTGGTATTGGAGGGAAAATGGGTTGACTTAAAAGTTTATAATAGCAGAAAAGCTAAAGTTCATGAGTTAAGCTTCCAATTCAAGAAGCTAGTAAAACAGAATAAATTTAAAGAAATTAAAAGAAAGGAAATAATAAGCCTGGTTGGTGTTGCTCAGTAGTTGAGTGTTGACCCGTGCACTAAGAGGTTGCCAGTTCAATTCCGTTAGGGCACAGGCCCGAGTTGGGGGCTCAATCCCCGGTGGTGGCGTGCAGGAGTCAGCCAGTCAATGTCCCTCTCATCGATGTTTCTCTCTCTCCCTTCCACTTTCTCTGAAAAGCAATGGAAAAGGTATCCTCAGGTGAAGATTAAAAAAAAAAAAAGAAAGGAAATAATAAAAGATAGCATAAATGAAAAATACAATACAGAGGAGCAACAAAGACAAACAATGGTGTTTTTTATAAAGGACTAACAAAATAGACAAACTTTTGACAATTTCCATTAGAACAAAGAGAAAGGGACAATAAACAATATTAGGAATGAAAATGTGAACATGACTACAGAAATTGAAATTTCTTTATTGATTTCAGAGAGAGGAGGGAGAGGGAGAAAGAGATAGAAACATCAATGATGAGAGTCATTGATCGGCTGCCTCCTGCACGCCCCCGACTGGGGATCGAGCCCGCAACCTGGGCATGTGCCCTGAGCGGGAATTGAACTTCGATCTCCTGGATCTTAGGTCGATGCTTGACCTCTGAGCCATGCCCGGCTGGGCGAAATAGAAGAAATTTGAAAACTTAGCAGATATAGCCAATTTCCTACAAAAACTTAAAAGCAAAACTGACACAAAAAAATAGAAAATTTTAAGTCTGATAATCGTGAGGGAAATGAACAAATCAGTATTAACCAATATTGTTTGAGGAATTGTAAACCTGAACCGTTTCTAGAAAGCAATCTGCAAACATGTATTAATTGCTGTGAAACTCTGACCCAACAAAACCATCCCGGGAATTACATAAAGAAGAATGGGCCCGGCCGGGCGTGGCTCAGAGATTGAGCATCGACCTAAGATCCAGGAGATCGAAGTTCGATTCCCAGTCAGGGCACGTGCCCGGGTTGCAGGCTCCATCCCCAGTAAGGGGCAGGCAGGGGGCAGCTGATCAATGACTCTCTCATCACTGATGTTTCTACCTCTCTCTCCTTCTCCCTTCTTCTCTCTGAAATCAATAAAGATATATATATATTTTAAAAAAGAACAGAAAAGAAGTTATATGGGTATTAGCTGTGCTATTACTATTAGTCAAAGAAATGTAAACATCTTGGAGGTCTAACATTTAGGCAATGGCTAAGCAAATCATATTATATAACAGAGCCATTAAACATGATAAAAATTTCAAACTCAGAAGTTGTAAAGAAAAAAGTGGACAGGTTTGAATATATTAAAAGCTTAAATGTCTGTATCATGAAAGATGCCACAAATTAAGTTCAAGGACACAAATGATAGAGGACTGGAGGGAAGGCAACTAGGGCTCAAGGCTACCTGGCTTCTCAGGAGGGAGGAGTTCACCACCACCTGGGCCTCAGCAGGGGCTTGAAGACAGAATCTCCATAGAAACCCCATGGAGACTGAGTGGAAATTGAAGAACTGCTGAGACATGTGCCTGATCCCCGAGGATTGCAGAGAAGGCCCTGCCGGTAGAGTGCCTGCGTGGTCAGGAAGCAATGGCTGAAAGGGAGTTTAGGTCAATGGCCACCTCACCCAGTTCTTTGTATTCAGCGCTGCTGGTTTGAGGGGTGTTGTTTTTGGGGGTCAGTTGCAGCTGAGGGTTCCAATCTCCAAGGTGGAAGGAGGGGCACATAATGGCTGAGAGGGCCAGGCGGCCAGAAGGAAAACGCCACAAGGTATGAACCATGGAGTGGATGCCACAGAGGACACCATGGGATGCACCAGCAGAAGTTAAGACCTCTGGTGACAAAGACCAAGAGGGTGAGCATCCGAAGGGAAGGAAAGTATGAATATAAGCTTGTAGAATAAGCATAAATGGTATTTGCTTCTCTAATATTTATTAAGCACCTACTATAGGTGAGGCACTATCTTATAAATTAACATAAAGTAGAATACCTTATTCCTTTTCTTCCTTAAAGTTTGCAAATATATAAATAGGAAATGATTCAAATGTTAAAACAGTGATTAACAGAAAGACAGAGAAACATAGAATTGCTAATAGGTGGCACAGTCCAAAGTTTAAGAGTGTGGGCCTCAACCTCAGGCTGCCTACCTTCAAATCCAGGCTCTGCAACTCACTAGCTGTGTGACATCTGTGTTTCAGTCTCTCTACCTGTAACCTCTCATGGGGTGTGGTCAGGTTAAACGACCTGAGACCTGTAAAGCACAATACCTCGCCTTTTTCCTTCCAGAAGTTTTCCTGGATTGCTTGACAGTGGCTTCACACTGACCTAGCATCCTGGTCTCCTCACCAGAACATTGTCTAATTGCTTTCTCC